GATGGAGAGTTCTAGTCCCGCCTTAAGCATGAAAGCTGGCTGGGTGATTTTAGACCGATCATCAAGAGGTGGTTCCAGTGCCAGTTTAAGTTTGAAAGCTGATTGACTGACTTTGGGCCAATCACTAGGAGATGGAGAGTTCTAGTCCCACCTTAGAAGGTCTTCAATGGGGCAAAACTCATTTAACAAATGTTTCACTTAGCAACAGAAATTTGGGGCTCAGTTGTGGACGTAAGACAAGGACTACCTTTACTTAAAAGTGAGACTGATTGAAGAAGCTGAGGAATAAAACCGAAGCTATTTGCACACCGAGTAAACATTCCACGTTTAGCTAGGCCCTGATCCCTTAAAATCTCAGAAAGGTGCTAGTCCTCATGTTATGGAGTAAGGTATAAATGTAAACATCCAGCCCTATCAGATTCCTGGGGATCATGCTTAGCGCTATCATCCTCCGGTGTCCTTGGCCTGCTGCCTTCCAAAAGGGGATGAACTACCTACTTCCATCTCATGTCCTAAAGGACTGGCAGGGGATGATGGGAGTCCCAATCCCTGTGTTAGAAGAAAAATCTGGTCCAGTTCTAAACTGGGAGATTGAAGCTGGAAATTAAATGGAGGCTGACTGGCTGCAAGGAAAGGAGGTTTGTTGATGAGCGGAACCAACAACAGCATGTTGTTCTGGGACAGCTGATAAATTGGTTTGAGGAATACGTGGATTTTTTTATAGGGTTCTGAGATGTTGCAGGGGGTTGTGCAATGTAATGAGCCTGAGGAGGAGGAGGAGGAGGAGGAGGAGGAGGAGGAGGAGGAGAGGAGGGGAGGGGAGAGAAAGAGAGGAAGAGGAGAAAGAGGAAGGGGAGAGGAGGGGGGGGAAGGAAATTGCTATTCTAATGGTGGTGGATTAATCCTATTATGTCCTAAAGGTCACCTCCTGTCCTTCTTAATCTCCTCAGCTGGAACTGAAGGTGTTTTATTTGTTAATAGGCTGGCCCAGTTTTTCTTAACGGGCTCAAAATGTCCATCTCTAAACTCTTCAGGCATCCGCGGGAGGCTATTAAGAAAGACTGGGTCTGCTTTCTGCCTTTAAGAACGTGTTTCTCAACCTTGGCAACTTTGGAATCTGTGGACTTCAACTCCCAGAATTCCCCAGCCAAACCCTGGGGAGTTCTGGGAGTTGAAGTCCACACCTCTTGGGGTTGCCACGGTTGAGAAACACGGCTCTAGAGAATGCGTTTTAATACCCCTATGAATCCAGCGTGTCAGGTAGGTAGCCTGTTTCTCCCTCCTTGACTTTTCTCCTAATAGAAAACACAGTCATTGCCATCAGTTTACAACTGTGGTTTTCCAGTTTACAACTGTGGTTAATCAAACGCACGTTCAGTTTCTACTCCCTACAAGCATGGCTCGCTCTTCGAATGAGATACTGAATGTAGCGATCAAACATATTTATCATTGTGACTTTAGACCAGGGGTGTCCAACTTTTCACCTTCCCTGGGCCACATTAGAAGATGAAAATTTGGTTTGGGCCGCACATAAAATAAAATAACAGTAACGATACCTGATCATCCCAAAAAACCATAGAAAACATAGTTAACATATTAAATTTATTTGGAAATGAAGTTAGTGAGATGCTTTTATTATTTATTATTAATTATTTATTAAACATTATTTTTTTTATCACGTTTTTTTTATCACGGTTTATCACGGTTTATTTTCCGGCCAAATTTTGCGGGAGGGGAGGAAGAAAGCTCGCCCGCCTCGTGCCTACCTCTCCTCCTGCAAATGGCCCGGCTGGATGCAGCAGGACTGGAAGGCAGAAGCAGCAGTGGCGGCGGGGGCAGAAGCGGCGGCGGCGGCAACAGCAGAAGGTGGCGCTCTGACGGCGCCCGCCTTTTCTGTTGCTGCTTGGCATGGCCCTCGCCTCGCCCCGCCTCACGCCTGCCTCTCCTCCTCCTCCTCACTGGCTCTGGCACGAAGGTTGGGGTGGGCACTGGGCCGCATTACGAGGCGACCTGGGCCGCATGCGGCCCATGGGCCGCGGGTTGGACAAGCCTGCTTTAGACAATGAAATAATTTTTTTAGATAAAATAAAATTAAAAAAAAACATGTTTCTCCATTTCTCCTTTGGGGAAATATAATATTCTGCCTCTTTTTAATATTCCCCAAAATATTTCATTCTCGAGGCCAGTGAGGGGAGAGGTTTCCAACACCTGGTACCTGAGGAGAACCACTTTTGCAGAAATCCAGTCTAAGCCTCCTGTTCCAGGTTTTTTTTTTTTTTTTGGCTTTACTTTCCTTTTTTCCTCAGGGAGATTCCGGAGGTCCTATGGTTTGCAAAGGAGTGGTGGAAGGCATCGTTTCCTATGGCAACCGAATCCCTCCAGGCGTTTATTCCCGCATAGCCGACTTCCTTCCTTGGATCAGGCACATCATGACATCGAATGCGTGAGAACCAAGAAACCCGGAGCAATTCCCTCTTTAAACCTGCTTTCGCTGCCTGAGAGGCAGGCCTTGCAATTTCTCCTCCTTCCCTTTTAAAATTTTTGCGCAAAAAAATAAAAAAATAAAGATAAAAATAAAGGCAGCAGCAGATCGTTGGGGGCCATAGGCTGAGTTTGTAAACCGCTTAGAGGGGGCTGTAAAGCACCGTGAAGCAGTATATAAGTCTTATATAAGCACCCTTGCTAACGTATACTATACTCGGTGGAATGTTTTGGTGCGCAGAGGCCTGTTTTCTGGGTAGCAACTTTAAGAGGTGTGAAGACTTCAACTCCCAGAATTCTCTGGTCAGGAATGGCTGGCTGGGAAATTCTGGGAGTTGATGTTCACACATCTTAAAGCTGTCAAGTTTGAGAAAGACCGACATGGACTCTGGACAATTTGTCTTCCATCCATATCTGAAGTCACTTCCCTGAGCCCATAACTGCCCCAACTCTTTACACTGTGTTGCCCATTCTGTCTTTTAAGCCAAGACTCTCCTCTCCTGTCCTCTCCCTCACCTTCCTCCTTTCTCCTCCCACTCTTCTTCCTCTCCTCCACTTCTCTCCTCTCCCCCTCACTCTCTTCTTCCTCCTCCCCTCTCTCCCTCTCTCCTCCTCTTCCCTCTCTTCTCCTCTCTACCTCTTCTTTTTCCTCTACCTCCCCTCCTCTCTCTCTCCTCTCCCTCACCTCCTCCTCTTCCTCCTCCCCTCTTCTCTTCTCCTCCTCTCTTCTTCCTCCTCCCTCTTCTCCCCCTCTCCTCCTTCCTTCTCTCCCCCTCACTCTCCTCTCTGCCCTCCTTCTCCCTTCCCCTCCCTCTCCTCCTCTCCCCTTCCTCCTCTTCCTGCTCCTTCCCCCGCCCCTAATGAATTGCTCAAGGTAACACCCAAAACACAGAAGGACTCTGTTAACCTACAAAAGTTTTATTAACTGCAATTGTGTAAGCATTTCCTACACACACACTTGCACCTGCCTGCCAGATGATGTATGGAGTTTGGAGAAGACAGGAGCATATAATCGGCAAATTATCCTTACATCCGCTGTAGATACGGCCTTTCTTGCTACGGTTATGTGAGTCCCTGCAGCTGTTAAGTTTGTATCATGGATGGAAAGTGAATCTGGCTTCCACATTGCTTGTCAGACGATCCCAAAGGACCACATGATCCCCAGGGCACTGTTATAAAAACGGACCATTTGCCAAGGGCCTGAATTTTGATCACTTGACTGTAGGGATGCAGCAAGGGTGAAAAACGGTCACAAGTCACTTTTGTTCAGTGTTGTTGTAAACGTGAACGGCACGAAACAAATAGTTGTAGCTGGTCAAGGACTACATTCATATACGTACACACATACATAATCCACATTATTATCTACATAAGCTTTAGGTTGTGTAGCTTTCTCACCAGCCCTCAGCCCAGCCTTCATTTTCATCTTGTGATAGCTGCGTTTGGTCACACATTGCACCCTGCATGACTTCAGCTGCCTTTTGACAGTGCTGGGTTCAGCGCTGGGACACTGTGAGTTAACTTTCTTATCTCCACTTGTTGTTTCAGAGTTGGCTTCCTTATCTCTTCGACTTGCTTGTTCAAGTTCTCCTTCCCGTCAGGGGTCAAATTTTATCTTTCTGTCTACTCTCACAACGTTTTAGTTCTGGTAAGAGGAGGCTGCCCTAACAAAGGAGAGGACCAAGCTACAACTAAGGAGAAATTTCTCCTAAGGGTGAGAACAATTCAATCAGTCATTCAGAATGGAGTTTGGAAGGGACCTTGGAGGTTTTCTAGTCCAGCCCCAGTGATGGAGCACCCATAACTTCTAAAGGCAAGATATTCCACTGGCTAATTGTTCTCACCGTTAGGAAGTTTCTCCTTAATTTCAGGTTGCTTCTCACCTTGGTTAGTTTCCATCCGTTGTTTCTTGTCCTGCCTTCAGGTGCTTTGGAAAATAATTTGGAAAATAATAATCTTCGTTGTGGCAGCCCCTCAAATACTAAAATATCATGCCCCCCCTAGTCCTTCTTTTCTCTAGACTAGACATACCCAAATCCTGCAACCGTTCTTCATATGTTTTAGTCTCCGTGACTTTAATCATCTTAGTTGCTCTTTGCATTTTTTTTTAAAAGGCCCAACACCTTTTTTGTCATGTAATGACCAAAACCGGATGCAATATTCCAGGTGTGGCCTTACTAAGGCTTTAATCAGTTGATCATTGATCCCACTGATTCTTTTAATCAATTCATCAGTGAAACCATTTGCCTACAAAAGTTGTGGATGCTTCATCACTTTTAAGAAGAGATTGGAAGCCGTTCGTTTGGAAATGGTGTCGGGGTTTCCTGCTCGACCAGGAGGGTGGGGTTTGGACTAGATGACCTCCGAGGTCCCTTCCAACTCTGTTAGTCTGTGAAGTTGTACATCTTCTGTCCAGTGGTGCAGCTGCAATGTTATTTCAAAATAAAAAATCCTTCCCAGCGGTGAGAAACCAGATTCCATCCAAGATTCTCACGGGAAGACAGAGTCAAGGATATGACAAAGTAACTTTTCCCACCCTGGCACCCCACAACAAGAATGCTCCCTTGTGAATTCAGCTTCTCGAAAGCCCGGTTGTCTCATGACCGACGCAACATCTGGATTGCACGCCCAGCAATTCCGTGATGCACCTGGAGCCGGCTTCTTCAAACCAAGCTGAACTCCTCCAGGTAGCTTGCCAAAACGGCGTCCTTGATATCGGTGAAAACCGCGCAGATGTTCTGCGTGTCAGTGGCGCAGGTGTAATGGTGGTAAAGGAACCGGGGTCTGAAGGCAGAAGGGGAACTGCCACAAAGAGAGCCATCGAGAAATTGATGGAAGATGTCGCTGTACATCTCCAGGATGAAGCCTTTGGCCGCGTGAACGTCTTGCTTGGGACCTGGGAAAGGAGAAGGAGAAGAGGTTGTGTGAATTGCCCAGGGTCCTGTTGTGGCCCACCAGTGGCCAGTGGAACTTGGAGCAGACTCGGATAGCGAGGAGATTGGGGAGGAACATGAGCCAATCTCCATGGATGGCTGAGAATCCCCATAGACATTTAGTAATACACCTATTACGCATCAGTGGTGATATGCTACCCGGTTTGGACCGGTTCAGCCGAACCGGTAGTAAAAAAATCCTCCGACAATCAGCTGAGAGGAGACAGAACAGAAAAGTGCAGGATTGGCCCTCCCACCCGTCTTTGCGCTTTTCTCTTCTTTCTCCTCTCAGCTGATTGGCGCTGCGGGTCTCAGCTGGTGTGGGGAAAGCTGCGCGTGCGCATTAGGCAAAGCATGCCCACAAAGCCACGCCCACAAAGCCACGCCCACCGATCTGGTGGTAAAACCATTTGAATCCCACCACTGCTGTACATCTGTTCCCCGTTGTCTCCACAGCCCAAGAAACTAGGAAGGCATCCTTCTGTCATATTTGCCTCATCCTTTTTCTTTCTGCAGGCTCAACGGCCTCTTATTTGACCACTGCTTAATCTTGCAGCTCTTCCTTCTGACTCCCAACATCCCGTTTCATTGCAGGGAGATACGTGTGTTTTTCTCTAGACCAGGGGTGCCAAACTCAAGGCCTACAGGGCCACTCTGGAAACAGTGAAGGACTGGCCCGTGGTGCCTCCGCCAGCGAAAACGGAGCTCCGATGCAGGAGGCCATTGCAGCCGAAAACGGAGCTCGGGAGCCCGTTTTTTGCTGGCAGAGTGCTCAGGTCACCACAGGCAACCCCGACATGAGTGACGTCGAGCTGGGCACGCCCACCCTGGCCACACCCACCCCAACCTCCCTCCCTGAGGTCAAACACAACACTGATGTGGGTCCAGGAGGCCATCGTAGCTGAAAACAGAGCTCGGGAGCCCGTTTTTTGCTGGCAGAGCGCTCGGGTCACCACAGGCAACCCCGATATGAGTGACATTGAGCTGGGCACGCCCACCCTGGCCACACCCACCCACTCACCCACCCGAGTTCAAACACAACCCTGATGCGGGTCCTCAATGAAATCAAGTTTGACAACCCTGGTCTAGAAGGCATACAAGCCACACAAAAAGGAGAATTAACGGAAGAGGAATATTTGTAGCTCAGGGTTGACCTGCGGGTTCCTGGGTGCTCTCTGAGGTTGGTTGTTTTCTTGCAGATGTTTCATCAGAAATGCCCTGATGATGTTACCTAGTTGGGTGATGAAACAACCAACCTCAGAGGACACCGGGACGCTATGGAAGGGGAAATAGAAAGCAACAACCTTTTTACCGACTCCTATTTGGCAACCAACAAAGCAGCTAGAAACCTTTTACTGCTTTGGCAGCTGTCCAAAGAGAAGCAATGCTTTTCCAAATCCAATGCAAGCAGTCCTCTACTTACAACCGTTCATTTAGGGACTGTTTGGCACTAAAAAAAAAGTGACTTTGACTGTTTTTCAAGCTTACAACCGTTGCAGCATCCCCATGGTCCCATAATCAAAATTCAGATCCTTGGCAAACGATTCATAGTTATGACGGTGTCAACTCATAAAACGTTTTGTATACATGTTTTATAGTTGTCAACAGAAAGAAGGGGGGGGGAGTTTTCAAAGAACAGGCGGCAGTGTGGAATCGAAAGTACATTCCATTCATATTTTCTTCAGAGACTGATTAGACGACTGTAGCTTCTGCTGCGCAAAAATCCAATTGGAGAGCATGATTGATGACTCTTGGCTATGGAAGTGTTTCGTTGGATGATACACCCAGAGGGGTGAGGGGAAAAGCAGGATCAAGGGTGACAATGAATTACGTATCTCAGAGTCGGCTACACCCAGGCAAATGTGGCATGTTAACTTCTAATAAATCCTTTTTAGTTTTGGGAGTGGGGCTCGAGGCTCATGATTTAATTGGAGTAACTGCCGGAATCCTGACAGAGGGTTGCAGTATCCCGGGGTCACGTGATCCCCTTTTGCGACCTTCTGACAAGCAAACTCAATAGGGAGGCAAGATTCACTTAACAACGGCGTGACTCATTTCATAACCGCAGCGATTCGTTTTAACAACGGCGGCAAGGAAGTGGTAGAATTCACTTAACAACTTTGCTTTGCTTAGCCATGGAACCTTGAGGCTCAATTTCGGTCATAAGTCGAGGTCTACCTGTGGTCCCAGAGTTCTCTTTAGCCAGATTTGTTATTATGAAAGCTCCAAGAACTCTCTCCTCATTACAGACCTTTATGATGGGAGGACTTCAACTCCCAGAATTCCTCAGCCAGTTGTGGTGGGGAAAGCTGGCTAGGGAATTCTGGGAGTTGAAGTCCACGCATCATAAAGTTGCCAGTGCCTGACTGAGGAATTTTGAGAGTTGAAATCTCTACAAAAAAAAAAGATGTTGAGACTTTGGAAAAAGTGCAGAGAAGAGCAGCTAAGATGATCAACGGCTTGGAGACTAAAAACGTATGAAGGACGGCTGCAGGGTTTGGGTTTGGCTAGTCTAAAGAAAAGAAGAATTAGGGGTGACATGATAGCAGGATTTCAATATTTGAGCGGCTACTACAATGAAGAGGGCGGGGTCAACTTATTTTCCAAAGCACCGGAAGGCAGAACAAGAAACAATGGATGGAATTAAGGAGAATTAAGGAGAAACTTCCTAACAGTGAGGACAAGCTCCATCACTGGATGTTTTTAAGAAGAGACTAGACAATCATTTATCTGAAATAGTATAGGTCAGTGGTGGCTAACTTTTGGGGGCTCCTGTGCCAAAAATTGCATGCACACCAGCGCACTCCCATTGCCAGCACCCAGAATGCAATGCGCGGCCTCCCTCCCCACGCCCCCTGAGCATATGCGCTCAATTTTTCCCACCCCCCCTTACCTGCACTGCGTCTCACAGCTGATTTTTCAGCTGGCTTGAGGCCTTTTTCGGCCTCCAAGAGGCTTGAAAAAAGCCTCTGCAAGGCTTTTCAGGCCGAATTATAGGCCCGTTTCACCACTTCCGGTATTACAGGAAGTGACAAAACAGGCCTATAATTCAGCCCGAAAAGCTTTGCAGAGGCTTTTTCCAAGCCTCTTGGAGGCCGAAAAAGGCCTCAAACCACCACCACCCAAATCAGCTGTGAAGCGCGCACATGCGCAGTGAGGTAAGTTTGCCTGAGGCTCGCATGCCATAGGTTCGCCATCACGAGTATCCTGCTTGAGCAGGGAGCTGGACTAGAAGACTTCCAAGGTCCCTTCCAGCTCTATTCTACTCTATGATACTCTACAGGTATCATAAAACTGCCAAGGGCTGAGGAATTCTGGGAGACAAAGTCCACAATCGCAAAGTAGCTAATGGCTGGCTAGCTAAGGGTTGCTGGAAATTGAATTCCACGGATCATAGAGTTGCAAAGGACTTGCTGGGGAATTAATTCTTGGCCAGGGTTGACAAATACTCTCTACAAGCAGCAACAGCTTGAAGATGAAAGGTGTGTGTCAATTCTAAGCAAAGGTGTGGCTGGCCAACATTAACACCAAACCAACGTGTTTTGTTCGTTCAAATGCTACAGGAAATCGCTCAGGGTTGGGCCCTATTTGCACCCTAACCACAGAGCCAGTATGTCCTCTAAACATCCTTCTTTGGCTATAACCCCACAAAGTTGTTGAGACTTTGGAAAGAGTGCAGAGAAGGGCAACTAAGATGATTAAAGACCTGGAGATAAAAAAAACATATGAAGAACAGTTGCAGGAACTGGACATGGCCAATCTAGAGAAAAGAAGGACTAGGGGTGATATAAGAGAAGTATTCCAGTATGTGAGGGGCTGCCACAAATAAGAAGGGGGTCAATTTATTTTGCAAAGCACCTGAAGGCAAGACAAGTAATGGATGGAACTAATCAAGAAAAAACCTGCTCTATCACTGGAGGTTTTCAAGAAGAGACTGGGTAGCTACTGGTCTGAAATGGTATGAGAAGAGACTAGAAAACCTATATGAGCCAATAGTATGCAGTGGCAGCCAAAAAAGCCAATGCAATCCTAAATTGCATTAACAGAGGGATACGATCAAGATCAAGGGAGGTACTAATACCACTCTATAAAGCCTTAGTAAGACCACTCTTGGAATGCTGCATCCAGTTTTGGTCATCACACTATAAAAAAATGTTGAGACCCTAGAAAAAGTGCAGAGAAGAGCAACCAGGATGATTAGGGGACTGGAGGCTAAAACATATGAAGAACAGTTACAGGAACTGGGCCTGGCTAGTCTAGTGAAGAGAAGGACCAAGGGAGACAGGATAGCAGTCTTCCAATATTTGAGGGGCTGCCACAGAGAGGAGGAAGGGGTCAAGCTGTTTTCTAAGGCACCCGAAGGCCAGACAAGGAATAATGGATGGAAACTGAACAAGGAGAGATTCAACCTGGAAACAAGGAGAAACTTTCTGACAGAACAATCAACCCATGGAACAGAAGTTGCCCTCGGAAGTTGTGGGAGCTTTATCACTGGAGGCTTTCAAGAAGAGACTGGACTGCCATCTGTCAGAAATAGTGTAAGGTCTCCTGCTTTGTTGGGGGGTTGGGCAAGATGACCTCCAAGGTCCCTTCCATTCGGAACGTGAATCTGAAACTTGCCTTCATCACCTCCCAGACCAGGCATGAGATGAGACGACCTGGTAATGCATAGAGGTTAGGGAAGTCAGAAGCACTTAATCCGTAGATTACACAGATAGTCCTCAAGGTACGACCACAAGGGAGCCCAACATTTCTGTAGTTAATTGAGACATTTGTTAAGTGAGCTTTGCCCCCGTTGTGCGACCTTTCTTGCCACGGTGGTTAAATGAATCGCTGCCGTCGTTAAGTCATAAATACGACCCAGTTGCCAAGCATCTGAATTTTGAACAGGTGGGGCTCCTTGGGGATGCTGCAAAAGTTGTAACTGTGAAAAATGATTCGTGAAATCACTTTTTTTCCAGTGCCCTTGTAACTTTAAACAGCCGCTAAATGAGCTGTTGTAAGTCGAGGACTAACCGTATCACTATTTCTCAGTAAGTTTGTGGCCTTAGATTTGAAAAGAGAATGACCCACCAGCGGGCAGCACTTAATTGGCCTTAAAGGTAAAGGTTCCCCTCGCACACCTGTGCTAATTGTTTCTGGTTCTAGCGGGCGGTGCTCATCTCCGTTACAAAGCCGAATGAGAGCCAGCGTTGTCCGAAGACATCTCCGTGGTCATGTGGCCGGCATGACTAAACACCAAAGCCGCACGGAACGCCGTTCCCTTCCCACCAAAGTGGTCCCTATTTTTCTCAAAAACTAAGCAGGCTGGTAGACCAGGATAGCCACCGGATGGGACACCACAAGGAAATCACCAAATGTAGCCTGGACCAGGAATTTGGACATTCTGGGAGAGAAAGCTATGGCAATACATGCTTCCAATTTTGTCCTGAAAATTACATGGATTTTTAGCGGTTTTTGTTAGACGTGCCATACTAAGAGTTTGGAATAAATATAAAACAAGACTCTCTACGAAGTTGCTTCCTTGGGTGTTGCCCCAGAAAACTTTCTTTAGAAAATAAATTGTGTCAGAGCCAGGTTGGTTGATGTATGGTTAAAGTCTTATCTTTCAATTCCGTTGACCCCACACGAAAGCCGAGGGAAGAATTTGAATCAAAAGGTTATGCCTGCCATTGGTTTACTTATCAGCAACTGAAAGAAAGGTTTAAATTGGATAAAAATGAACAAAAAGTGGATTTCATTTTATTAAAAATGTATTGGAACTTTCATTACGTGGCGAGGATGAACGTATTATTGCTGAAACTGAACTTAGAAAAATATTTTTAGTGACGTCCCTAGAGGTTTTTGAGGGGGGGGAAAAAGATTTTACCTTTTCAATAAATACAGGCGGGGGGGGGGGGTATTCAGCCAGTTCGGACCAGTTTGGGCGAACCAGATGTTACATTTATATCTGGTTTGCCGAACCCGTATTTGAACTGGCTGGCTGGCCCCACCCACCCTGCCCCTCCCCTTTCAGGAGTCTCCACGTGGCCCATTTTCCATACAGGTAAGTTCAAGGTCTGCGTGGAGGCTCTGAGAGGGGGGAAAACGGCCCTCCCGGAAGTACCAGAAGTCCAGAAATGGGGCTGTTTCCGGCTTCCAGAGGGCCTCCAGAGCCCAGGGGAGGCCATTTTAGCTCTCCCAGAGGCCCGAGGGAAGCCTCCGGACTCTGGGAAAGGTGAAAAACGGCCCTCCCGGAAGTACCAGAAGTCTAGAAATTGGCCTGTTTCTGGTTTCCGGAGGGCCTCCAGAGCCCAGGGGAGGCCATTTTTGTCCTCCCAGAGGCCCGAGGGAAGCCTCCGGACTCTGGGAAAGGTGAAAAACGGCCCTCCCGGAAGTACCAGAAGTCCAGAAATGGGCCTGCTTCCGGCTTCCGGAGGGCCTCCAGAGCCTAGGGGAGGCCATTTTAGCTCTCCCAGAGGCCTGAGGGAAGCCTCCGGACTCTGGGAATGGTGAAAAATGGCCGTCCCGGAGGTTCTGGTAGACCAGGCCCGCCATGGCTACGCTCACCCTGCAATTGGGCAGAGAACCGGTTGGTGGGATTTTTGAATCCCACCCCTGAATACAGGGTGCCTCAAAAATATCACTTTAGTTGGAAGCATTAATAAGCACAATAATAGCTGTAATAATAAGTGTTTTCTAGAGATTCAAACCAGTTTCCCAGCCGGACAGTGCTTTAATACAGGTAAGTCTTTGATTTGCCACAATTCCTTTAGCAACTGGTTCAAAGTTACAACGGCCCTGAAAAAAAGTGATTTACAACCGGTTTGGTCCTTGTGCTTATAACCATAGCAGCACCTCCAGTCATGTGATCAAAATTTGGGCATTTGGCAACAACCAGCGTGTATTTATGATGGCTGCAGTGTCCCGGAGTTATGTGATCAGCATTTACGACCTTCCCATCCGCCTTCTGGCGAGCAAAGTCAATGGTGGAAGTGGATTCGTTTAACAACATGATCCGCTTAGCGACTGCAGAGATTGGTGTAACGACCGTGCTTAATGACCACGTTGGTTAGCGATGGAAGTTCCAGCCCCATTTGCGGTCGTAAGTCGAGGACTGCCTATAACTGAAGTAATGAAAGAACACCTTCCCCATAATTTAGCTGAGGGTTTGGATTAGGGAAGCAGGCCTCCAGTTTGCACCAATTTTGCAGTCCTTTTTCTAGAACCTGCCGCTTTGCAGACAGCCCCCCTCTAACCGTTCCTCCACGCTGCCCACCTGTCCAAAGCAGGAAACGTTACCTGGGAAAGTGGGGAAATAGGCAGCCAGATCCGAGGTGAGGATTTTCTCCTCCAGGATATCCACTTTGTTCAGGAAGAGAATAATGGAGGTGTTCCAGAACCAAGGCAGCTCCAGAATTGTCCTGAAGAGATCTAAACTCTCCCTCATTCGGTTCTGATAGGAAAGAGCGGGTGGGGGAGGGGGGGAACGGGGGGGAGGGAAAAAAGAAGGAAAAAAATGTATCAGGAATGAGCACACAGTAGGGTTTAGGAAGTTTGTTCTGGAGGCCTTTTCCGCAGACATCGGTTTGCCCAGCGAGACAACCGAGGGACGTTTCAGTGGATCAGAGGGCCAGGAAATAATATGTATAAATTCTGACAGAAAATAATATTGGTAGCTCAGGGTTGAACTGTGCGGTCCTTGGTATTCTCTGAGGTTGTTGGTTTTCTTGCAGACATCTCATGACCCAGCTAGGTAACATCATCAGGGTTAGAAGGGAGTGAGCTTTGCAGAGTGGTGGAGAAGAAGCGGGGGGCGGGGGGGGGGGGGAGGAGGAATGGGGAAAGGACTATGCGGTCCTTGGTACAGCTTGGCTGTTTGGTTATTTTCTTGCAGACATTTCATTACCAAACTAGATAACATCATCAGTGCTAGAAGGGAGTAAGGTTTGGAGGGGAGGAGGAGGAGGAGGAGGAGGAGGAGGAGGAGGAGGAGGAAGACAACTACGGGGTCCTTGGTGCAGCTTGGGTGTTTTCTTGTAGACATTTCATTACCAAACTAGGTAACATCATCAGTGATAGAAGGGAATGAGGTTTGTGGAGTGGTGGAGAAGAAGGGGAGAAAAAGGGGAGGAGAAAGAGGAAGAGGTGGGGTCCTTGGTGTTCTCTGAGTTTGGTTGTTTCTTTGCATAAGTTCCATTACCCAACTAGGTAACATCATCAGTGCTAGAAGGGAGTGGTATACTTGCATGTAAACTGAGAGCTACAAGCGCTTAGCGTATATACAAGTGGCTTGCTCTGGCTTACCACTGACAGGCGAGCCACTTCTATAAAACAGAGAGTAAACCCCACTTAATTTTCGCACTGATGATGTTACCTAGTTGGGTAATGAAACATCTGTAAGAAAACCATCCAGCTCAGGGAGCATCAAGGACCCCTCATATAAATTCCCAATATATACAACGCACACGCACACACACACACACAGAATACTCAAAATGTAGACATACATAATCCTCTCCCTTAATGGTCCCTCTATTCCTCCAAATATTCCTGTCTCAACACTGCTCCTTACTTCGCTATTATTCTCCTCCAGTGACTGGTCATACTCGCTCAGAGAGGCCAAATAGATTAAGGCAATCACGTTTTCGAAACAGTGGATCCACTTCCGGCGTTCGGTTTTCTGCCCGCCAACATCAACGATCCTAAAAAAAATAGAAATGAAAAAAATATATAGATAATCCTCTACTTCTTTCATAGACGAATGTTGGCTCAAAAAAAAAGCGACTGTGAGAAGGACCTTGGAGTCCTAGGGGACTATCACTTAACCATGAGCCAGCTGTGTGGGGGGGCACCCCAAAAAGCGAATGCAATCCTTGTTTGCATAAAACAGAGGAACAGAATCAAAAATCGCACGAAGTATTAGTACCACTTTATAAATCCTTAGTAAGTCCACACTTAGAATATTGCATCCAGTTTTGGTCACCACATTGCAAAAAAGACAGTGAGACTTTGGCAAAACTAAGATGATTAAAGGTCTGTTAGACGAAAACATAAGGAGAACAGTTGCAGGATTTGGGTATGGTGAAATTAGAGAAAAGGAGTAGGGGTGACATGATAGTAGTATTGCAATATTTGAGGGGCTGCTACAAAGAGGAGAGGAGTCAAATTATTGTCCAATGTTGCCACATTACACAATGACACAAAGCCTCTCAAAATATGACTGATATTTAATCTCTCGATTCTGATTATGGCCCCTTTACAACCTATGGACTTCAACTCCCAGAATTCCTGAGCCAGCAATGCTGAGCAAATTCCTGAGCCAGGAATTCTGGGAATTGAAGTCCACAGGTCCTGAAGGGACTACAGGTAGTTCTCAATTTACGACCACAAATGAGCCCAAATTTGATGTTGTTAAGCGAGAAAGTTGTGGGGTTTGCCCCATTTTACGACTTTTCTTGCTACATTTGTGAAGTGAATCGCTGCGGTTGTTAAATTAGTAACATGGTTGTTAAGCGAATCTGGTTTCCACCCCTGCTGGCCAGAAGGGGAAATCACACGACCCTGAGACACGGCAGCCATCATAAATGTGAGTCATTTTATTCTATGGATGGTTAGAAAGTAGAGTAAGAAATTGAAGGATATGGTAATAATAATGATACTGTATAATTGATTATTTTTCAATAAATTACAACATGAATATAATTTAGTATAGGTAGAATTTGCTTTAAGGATAGTTTGAAACTGAAATAAAAAAATCCAATGACAATGTAACAATGATACATAATGTTGACTAGAATATAATGTGAATGTAAACTCAATGAGAGATGTATGCAAATATTAATATGTGCACAAGATATACGTACCCGGACGACATACTGTTATATCTGAAAGATGGTTTTTATTTGTTATTTTTGTTGTAAAAATAATAAATAATAAATGAATGAACGAACGAACGAACAAACAAACAAACAAACGTGAGTTTATGGGGTTGCTACAACGGTCGTAAGTGTGAAAAACAGTCATAAGTCATTTTTTTCAGTGATGTTGTAATTTGGATGGTCACTAAATGAACTGCTGTAAGTCGAGGATAAACCTGAATAGCTACCGATCCCGATTATATCTTTGTTTTAAGGAATCCAGTATGAAACATACTGTAAGCACTTGGGATGAATGGTGGTTTTTTTTTCCAGTTTACCTTAACGTCACCTTTTGCATCGAGAAGCAGTACTCGTTAATGCCCGTCGTGGGCACACGGGTTCTCAAGATATCCTGGGCACTTGGCACATACCCCTCAGAAGCAATGCGGTCCAGATTCGAAAGGAAGCTGAAACAGAGAGACACCTGTCACTCTGGACAATGCACTGACAGAGTAACTCAAAATTAATGCACACACTTCTCTAGCACAGTGCCTTCCGAACTTGGCAAGTGTAAGATAGGTGGACTTCAATTCCCAGAATTCCCCAGCCTGCATTTGTAGACCAATTCCCAGAATTACCCAGCCAGCCTGAAATTTGGGAAAGTTGTGTCAGCTTCAGTGCTACTGGCCACAGCTGTGCTGCTATGATATTGCTGCGGTTAATAGAATAGAATAGAATAGAATAGAATAGAATAGAATAGAATAGAATAGAATAGAATAGAATAGAATTCTTTATTGGCCAAGTGTGATTGGACACACAAGGAATTTGTCTTGGTGCAAATGCTCTCAGTGTACATAAAAGAAAAGAGACATTCGTCAAGAATCATCAGGTCCAACACTTAATAATAGTCATAGGGTACAATAAGCAATCAAATCATACCAGGAAACAGTCCATATAAATCGTAAGGATACAAATGACAAAGTTACAGTCATACAGTCACAAGTGGGAGGGGATGGGTGATAAGGAGTGATAAGAAGATTAACAGTAATAGTAGTGCAGACTTTGTAAATAGTTGGACAGTGTTGAGGGAATTATTTGTTTAACAGAGTGATGGTGTTTGGGAAAAAAATGTCCTTGTGTCTAGTTGTTCTGGTGTGCAGGGCTCTATAGACGTCATTTTGAGGGAAGGAGTTGAAACAGTTTATGTCCAGGATATGAGGGGTCTGTAAATATTTCCACAGCCCTTTTTTTTGACTCATGCAGTATACAGGTCCTTGATGGAAGGGAGGTTGGTAGTAATTGTTTTTTCTGCAGTCCTAATTATCCTCTGAACTTTGTTTTCTACATTTGGTGACAGTTTCCAAGCCTGTCTAGTAATCCTTCACTCCTTTCCCCCATCCAGGAGCAGCCACTTACTCCTGGGGGAGAGGAAGGGAAGAAGGGAGGAGTGGCAGAGACAGAGATAAAGACAGAGAGACATATTATGGAAGGGATGGATGGAAAGGAAAGGGGAAATTTCCAATATTCCTTGCCAGATTCCCACAGGAAAAGTCAATGGGGAAGCCAGCGGGAAGTCGGAAATACCACTGCTTTTTTTTCCCCTGCCTGAAGTCATTCTGTTTCTCTGCTTAGGTAAGCAAATATATCTGAAATGATGACCCAAATGACACAGGTTGCTGGCCACGTGACCATGGAAATGTTTTTGGACAACGCTGGCTCCCTCAGCTAAGAAACAGAGATGATTACAGCCCCTAGCCTAGAGCCAGACATGACTAGACAGGAGAAATATTTAACGTGCATCCACCGTACACACAGGAAACACACAAATCTTTACACCACTACGGTGCCAAGAGGTCATGACATAGAATAACAGAGTTGGAAGGGACCTTAGAGGTTATCTAGTCCAACCCCCTGCTCGAGCAGGAGAGTCTAGCCTCTACCTAGGATCGAACTCACAGGCTCCTGGTTGTGAGGTGAGAGCTCCACCTCTAGGCCACCACACTGGACCAAAAACAGTTTGTAGGGTCTTGGACCCTCCTTGCAACTCTACATTCGACCACCAACCCAAGGTAAGAACACGCGATGGTCGCTCCAAAACAAAGTGTGAACCGGATTAAAAAGGGACTCACTAGGACGTCGAATCGAGCAGGTGGAATTTGCTTCTCCTCTTATAACAGGTCCTGATGCCGGCATCCTTCCAGAGGCCACCAATGATCCTGGCGTGGTGGGGGTCCAGGGAGACCACTTTATAGGCATCTACGCTCAGGAGCTGCCGGGCGTTTTGCTAGAGACAGAAAATAAGAGTTTTCTGAGGCATATGAAGAGCGGTTGGAGGAATCAGGTACGTCTAGTCTAGGGAGAAGGAGGACTTAGGGTGACATGAGAGCAGCCTCCCAATATTTGAGGGGCTGCCCCCCAAAAGAGGGAGTCAAGCTATTCTCCAAAGCCCCTGAAGGCAGGACAAGAAGCAATAAAGATGGAAGGTCATTAAAAAGAGAAGCAACCTAGAATTAAGAAGAGATTTCCTGACAGGGAGGACAATTAACCAGTGGAACTTCAGAAGTTGTGGGTGCGTCATCACTGGAGGCTTTTAAGAAGAGACTGAACAGCCATTTGTCTGAAATGGTGTAGGGTTAGGGGTGTCAAACTCAAGGCTCGGGAGCCGGATCCTCAGGGGTGGCCTTCAAAAATGTTAGCAAAGGGTTCGCTGCCCGGTTGCTGGGTGGGCGTGGCCATGGTTGGCGTGGCCTAGTAGACCTCCTGCACCACGGTGGGATGGGGGGCATTTTTGCTCTCCCCAGGCTCCGGAGGCTTTCCTCAAGCCTCCAGGAGGGCAAAACCAGCCACCCCGGGCACTGGAGGCCATCTGGAAGCTGGAAACGGGCCCATTTCCCGCCTTCCCAAACTCCCAGGAGGCCAATTTTTTCCCCTCCCTGAGCCTCCGTGCGGGCCCTGCACTTACCTGCATCCAAAAGGGGCTGTGTGGAGACCCCTGGGAGGTGTGGGACAGGGTAGGTAGGGCCAGCCAGGAATGGGATTTGGGGGGTTCTCTGAACTGCACAGAATCTTAGCTAGGGGCTATCCTGAACCCCTGCGAACCTTCAGCAGCTCAGCCCTGTGGATCTGGCCCGCATGGCCACCCTGGAAACAGCGAAGGACCAGCCTGCGGTGCCTCTGCCGGCGAAAATGGAGCCCGGGAGGGCCTCATGCAGCCACAAACGGAACCCGGGAGTCCATTTTTACCGGCAGAGTGCTTGTGCCGCCAAAGGCGCCTCCAACACAATGATGTCGAACTGGCCATGCGCCCCCTCCCCTTCCTCCCAAGGTCAAACAAAACCCTGATGCAGCCCTCGATGAAAACGAAACCTTGACACCCTTGGTATAGGGCCGTGATGGCGAACCTAGGGCACGCGTGCTACAGGTGGCACGCAGAGCCATTTGTGCTGGCTTGCGAGCTGCAGATAAACTGACCACACTGGGCGTGTGCGTGCCTCACAGCTGATTTTCGGCCGGTTTGAGGCCTTTTTCGGCCTCCCAAAAGTTTGAGGGAGGCTTCTGCAGGCTTCTGCAGGCCAAAAACTAAGCCCGTTTCGTCACTTCCGGTATTTGTGGAAAAACAGGACATGATGAAACGGGACTAGATTTTGGCCTACAAAGCTCGTAGAAGCCTGCAGAAGCCTTCCTCGAGCTTTTGGGAGGCCGAAAAAGGCCTCAAACCGGCCAAAAATCAGCTGTGAGGCGCAGTGCAGGTAAGAGGGCGGCAGGGTGGGTGGGTAGGATTGCATGCGCATGCATAGGGGACATGGGGGGGGCACATTGCCTTCTGGGTGCTGGCACGTGAGCCAGAGAGTGCAAGCGCATGCACAATTTTTGGCACAGGAGCCCCCAAAAGGTTAGCCATCACTGGTATAGGGTTTCCTGCCTGAGCAAGGGGGTTGAACTAGAAGGCCTCTAAGGCCCCTTCCAATTCTGTGACTCTGTTCAGAGCAGAGTGGAAAACTTTGGGTAGGAACATTCTAGAAGCCTAGTCAGAGGAGGCCCCTTTCATGAATGCTGCCCACGGAATGACAGAGATCCTGGAAGTGTGAAGTGATTTCAGGACAACCTGTGGTCTTGTCGAAAGGGAACTTCACGAGGACAGTGGTGACACCCAAGCAGAAAAAGCCCAAGGGGAACATCAGGCCAGCCATAGAACAAACTTGCATAGGAAAAGAAATTTAATAAAAAGTATTGAAAGAAGCCCCCTAGACAAAAGCCAAGTGATGAAGAAAGCTAGGGAAACAAGGAAAAGAAAACCCTTACAAGCCAAATCAGCAAAACAGACAAAAGACACAGAATAAATTACATAGGAAACAGACGGGAGATATCCAGAAAACAAATAAAAAAACCCATTATAAAAGTAAAAGAGATTAAGAAAGAACCGATAAGGCAATCAAGCCGCCCCGCAGAGTTTATTTTCCGCACCTCGCTAAGCATGCCTTCTGGCGAAAATTAAACTCTGACAGGATTTTAATATCTAAACATTAAACACTAAACGAACATTCACACACAAAGGGAGAAAAAAGGTATAAAGAGCCAGGAATTTTCTATTCGAAGTTAGCTAGCTAGCCCCAGGAACGCAGACTTCTTGCTATCTCTCGCCTTTCTGAAAAATAAAAAGATCCAGCTTTCAAGCAGTTGTCTGTATCCTTGCACCAGAGCTCTCCCAGCAGGAAAATTGAATCCTCAGAAGAAAGGCATTTTCCAAGCCTTTCAATAGTCTATTTGTCATTAATAACCAAAACAGACTTGTGGAACTTCAACTCCCAGCCCAGGAATTCTGGGAATTGAAGTCCAGAGGTCGTAAAAGGGCCATAGTTCCCCCCCCCCCCCGCTTCTCTAAAGCAAACTAATGATGGAGCCCGGGCACAATTCAGCCCAACATCTCTGTTCCTAAACAAGACCATTGCGACGTGTGTTTTCCCCCGTCTGATGACCTTTTCGCCACAGCTGTTAAGCAAAGGTTGTTAAGTGAATCATGAGGCCGTGAAGCAAATCTGGCTTCCCCCATTGACTTCGCTTGTCAGAAGCTTGCAACTGGTAATTTCTTGACCCCGGGGACAGTGCAACCATCATAAATACACACAGCAGTTGCCATGCTCAATAGCAGGAACCGGGAGAGGGATCTTGGAGTCTTAGTGGACAACCAGCTAAATAGGAGCCAGCCGTGTGCAACAGCAGCCAAAAAAGCCAATGCAATCCTAAATTGCATTAACAGGGGGATACAATCGAGATCAAGTGAGGTACTAATACCACTCTATAAAGCCTTAGTAAGACCACACCTAGAGTACTACATCCAGTTTTGGTCACCACACTATAAAAAGATATTGAGAAAGATATTGAGAAAGAGTGCAGAGAAGAGCAACCAGGATGATTAGGAGACTGGAGACTAAAACATACAACAAACGGTTGAGGAACTGGGCCTGGCTAGTCTAGTGAAGAGAAGGACCAGGGGAGACATGATAGCGGTCTTCCAATATTTGAGGGGCTGCCACAGAGAGGAAGGGGTCAAGCTATTGTCTAAAGCACCTGTAGGCCAGACAAGAAATAATGGATGGAAACTGAACAAGGAGAGATTTAACCTGGAAATAAGGAGAAACTTTCTGATAGTGAGAACAATCAACCAATGGAACACTTTGCCCTTGGAAGTTGTGGGAGCTTCATCCCTGGAGACTTTCAAGAAGAGATTGGACTGCCATCTGTCAGAAATGGTGTAGGGTCTCCCGCTTGGGCGGGGGGTTGGACTAGATGACCTATAAGGTCCCTTCCAACTCTGATTATCTGCAATCTGTCATGGGTCCTAATTTTGATCACATGACTGTGGAGAATGCTGCTATGTGAAAACAGTTCATAAGTCCCTTTTTTCACTGTCGGCGTAAGTACAAACGGCCGCTGATTGTAATGGTTGTAATGTCAAGGATTGCCTGTATGTGGATACTCACTGCATTCTCCTCCTGGCCGTAAGGAATCTGCAGGCTCTCCATAGCTCTGATGATTGCCTGGATAGAGGTGAAGATGTTTTGATACACCACTTTCGCAAAGTCCTTCCGCTCGTCTTCCGTGAATCCCACTCCGTGGATAATCCTCATCTGTTTGATGAAGGTGCTTTTTCCACCTTCCCCAGTGCCTGATGGGTAATGCACAACACACACAAAAAAAACATTGATTTTCCAGTAGAACATCCGGGATGCAAGTCTAGCCAACTTAACAGGAATAACAAAGTTGGGAAGGAACCTCGGAGGTCTTCTAGTCCAACCCCGCTTGTACGGAAGCCTAGACGCCTCACATCCCGGACATACAACTGTTTCAACTCCTACCCTCAAAACGACGCTATAGAGCACTGTACACCAGAACAACTAGACCAGAGGTGGCATTCAGCAGGTTCTGACCAGTTCTGGAGAACCGGTCGCGGAAATTTTGAGTAGATCGGACAACCGGCAAATCCCACCTCTGACTGGAGATTTTACAGTCTCCTTCCCCTGCCATGCCCACCAAGCCACACCCACAGAACAGAAAGTTTTAAAAAAATTGAATCCTACCACTGAACTGGACACAAGGACAGTTTTTTCCCCAAACGCCATCACTCTGCTAAACAAATAATTCCCTCAACACTGTTCAACTGTTTACAAAGTCTGCACTACTATTGCTGTTAATCTTCTCATCGCTCCTTATCGCCCATCCCCTCCCACTTGTGCCTGTGTGACTGTAACTTTGTTGCTTGTATCCTTACAATCTATATTGACTGTTTCCTAGTATGATTTGATTGCTTATTGTACCCTATGACTATTATTAAGTGTTGGACCTGGTGATTCTTGACTCTTGACGAATGTATCTTTTCTTTTTATGTACACCGAGAGCATTTGCACCAAGACAAATTCCTTATGTGTCTAATCACACTTGGCCAATAAAGAATTCTATAATTCTATCAGATGCTGTGGCATTGTCCTGACCAATCTCCTCATCACTCACCGCACCTGAAGGCAGGACAAGAAACAAGGATGGAAACTAATTAAGGAGAAAAGCAACCTAAAACTAAGGAGGAATTTCCTGACAGAACAATTCATCAGTAGAACGATTTTCTTCCAGAAGTTATGGATGCGCCAACCAACAGAGGAGGTTTTGAAGAAGAGATTGGACAGCCATGACTCTTGCTCGAGCAGGGGGTTGACTAGAAGACCTCCAAGGTCCCTCCTAACTCTGTTTATTCTGTTATTCAGCTATTCAGTTTGGCAATTTTGCAAAGTTTTCCCTTTGACGGTACCAGCGCTCAAAGGCATTAAATCGCCAACCCCAGGAACGCTTGATTGATTTAATAGATTTAAAATATTTATAGAGCTGCCTATCCTACAACCAACCCTCTTATAGCTATTAGGTTGGAGTTAGTTCAATGGCAACGTTTTATTATTATTTATTTACTTACTTACTTATCGAATTTATATTGCAGCCTATTCGCCCATGGCTTTCCCGGTTTACAGGGAGAAATTTGCTGATTTGGGACCTGGTCACTTCAGTTAGAATAAAAGAACAGAAAAGTATTTCTCTAGAACAGTATTTCTCAACCTTATCCATTTTAAGATGCATGGACTTCAACTCCCAGAATTGCTCAGCCAGGTTGGTTGGATTTCGGCTCCCGAAATTCTTCACCCATCATCTAAACCACCGCTTCTCAACTTTGGCAACATTAAGGTGTGTGGACTCCAAGTCCCAGAATTCCCCTGACCGCCTCCGGACCATGTTTCTCAACCTGAGCAACATTATGGTGTGCGGACTCCAACTCCCAGAATTCCCCTGACCGCCTCTGGACCATGTTTCTCAACCTGAGCAACATTACGGTGTGCGGACTCCAACTCCCAGAATTCCCCAGCCAGATTTGTGGACTCCAACTCCCAGAATTCCCCAGCCAGATTTGTGGACTTCAACTCCCAGAATTCTCCTGCCAGCATCTAAACCGGTAATTTCTCAACCTTGAAGCACACCCACATTGAGGTGTGTAAACTTCAACTCCCAGAATTCTGGATGGTGAAGTCCATAACTTCACAAGTTGAGAAACGCTGATTTAGATGCATCTTCTCCACGATTGGTAGGTATCCAGCTCAGAAGTCCACTTTGCAAGGCTGGTGGGTCCTAGCATCATGGACAATCAGTTGAGCACTGCTTATTATTATCCGCGGTCACTTCCAACGCTAAAGTGGAAATCTGTGCCGTTCTCTAACTAACCAACATCTCACTTCAGTTATCGGAAGCTGGCTTGGTCTTTGTCTCTCCTTCCCAAAAACATCTCAGCCGCAGGCGATATCAAGCCAAGGGCTCCCGAAACTTTTCATTCAGTTGTTTTAATCTTCATGAATCCATAAAAACGGGCGTGGGGTTAACAATAATATTTGCAGCTGCGGCAGTAAAGTTTGTTAGATTTTGGCACGTACCCTTGACATTTCTCCTAACAAGCATTAATCCTAAAAACAGCCTCGGATAAATTGCGTAAACACTCAATTTTACAGGCGTGCTTTTGCTTTTAAACCTAAAGCAACAAATAAGTGCCTCACCAGAATCAGACAGATTCAAGTTTTGGGGGTTTTTTTTAGCAGTATTTTTTTATAGGTTGGGAGGAAAAATACAATAGTTTGTCTGTTTTAACGTTCGGCATTAAAAATAAGTGGAACTTCCCTCGTGATTGTTGAGGCCACCATCTTAACTTTTTTGACCATCATGTGGTTACAAGAAGTCTATTTGCTTGATTGCTAAAATTAATGCTAATATTTCCTTGCCCGTATTTGATATTTTGCTTCAGGTTTTTATATTTTGGATAGTTGGAAGAGAATTGCCCCCAAAAAAGAGAATCTGGAAGAATTAGAAGAGGTCTGCAAATCACTTTTTTTCCTTCTATTATACAGCTAGTCCTCGATTTACAATCACCTAGCAACCACTTAGCAGGTTGCGACAGACCTCGCTCCCCAAAAAAGGCTACCTACAACCTGGTTCCACCCTTAACTATGGATTCGCTTAACAATCCCTACAAAAAAAAAAAATATTGTAAAGATCATCCACTTCACAACTGTTATGATTTCCGACTGTAATTGCTAGGTTCAGTTATGGTCATAAGCAGGGGTGGGATTCAAATTTCTTAACCTGGTCTGTGGGCGTGGCCTAATTTTTGGGTGTGGCCTAATTTGTGGGCATGGCTTGGTGGTCTTGTGACTGGGTGGGCATGGCTTGCCGACTGGGCATGGCTTGGTGGTCATGTGACTGACTGGGCGTGGCTTGTATGCAAATATTATAAATATTTATGTAAATATTGATTTTTTTTTATAAAAAAGAGCAACTTTTACCCAAAACCAGGCAAAGCAGGCAGGCAGATTGAGTTGTTCACAGAATCACAGATTCACTTAGAGATCTATAATTCTGCAATCTGCTACCTGAGTCTGTCACATAAAATTTGCTTGCAAGCAAACTCACAAAATTAACTCACAACACACCATGTATGTAAATATTGAATTTTTTTATTAAAAAAGAGCAACTTTTACCCAAAAGCAGGCAAAGCAGGCAGGCAGATTGAGTTGCTCACAGAATCACAGATTCACTTAGAGATCTATCTATCTGCAATCGGCTACCTGAGTCTGCACTGAAAAACAGAAGCTTCAGTCCTAAGGAAGGTTCAGCTCTGCTTTTAGATTAACTAGAAAGCAAGAAATCCATTCTTTCTAGCTAATCTAAATCTCCTGGCACAACAGAACAACTGATGGCCGGGGGGGAAGAAAAAGGAAAAATAGCAACTTACCAAACGCAGGCAAGTTTGATGGCCCGCGTGCCAGGTAAGGAGTGAGTGGGTGGGGAAGGGAGGGGCCAGCCAGTGGCGCAATTTGCCAGTTCTCCGAACTGGGCAGAATCGTAACAAATCCCACCACTGGTCGTAAGTCAAGGACTACCTGTAAAGATTTCACGAATGACATGGGAAACCATTAGACACACTCGGACAGATAACACTGCAGAAGAGATAAAAGGAGATAAAATTACTCCACCTGTGCTCTAATAGCGATAGCACTTAAGACTTATATACTGCTTCACGGTGCTTTACGGCCCTCCCTAAGTGGTTTACAGAGTCAGCCTATGGCCCCCAACAATCTGGGTCAGTGGTTAGAGTGCAGTACTGCGGGCTACTTCTGCTGACTGAGGGCTCCCTGCAATTGGGTAGATCAAATCCCAACAGGCTCCAGGTGGACTCAGCCTTCCGTCCTTCCGAGGTGGGTAAAATGAGGACCCAGATTGTTGGGGGCCAATATGCTGACTCTGCAAACCTCTTACAGAGGGCTGTATAAAGCGGTATATAAGTTTTTAAGCACTATTGCTAATAAAAGGGAGGGAGAGAGAATGAGAGAGGAAAAGAAACAAGAGAGAATGAAAGAAAGGGAGGGAAGGAGGGAGAGAGAATGAGAGGCAGAGAGAGTATGAGAGAGACGGAGGGGGGAGGGAGGAGGGGAGAGGGAGGAATGAGAGAGAGAGACAGAAAGAAAATGAGAGACAGAGACAGAGAGAGAAAATGAAAAGGCTATTTGGAGACAACAAACGAAAGACAAGCCTTTTTTAAAAAAATTTTCCAAATCTAGATTTCAGCTCTTATTTTGCTGCATTACAAGAAAGCTGAAAAATGACCTCAGTAGGATGGAAGGCTGAGTAAATCTTGAACCGGTCAGAATCGAACTGCTGAACTGTTGGCAGCCGGCAGTCAGCAGAAGTCGCCTGCAAGCACTGCGCCACCGCAGCTCTTCAGCTATTCATACCTGTGACTATCTAACCCATAATATACCACATACTGGTCGTCCTCAACGTACGACCCCAACTGAGCCCAAATTTTGCGATTTGCTAGGCAAGGCCATCGTTAAGTGCCTTTCTCCTCCTTTATTGACCTTTCTTGTCACGGTTGTTAAGTGAATCACTGCAGCTGTTAAGTCAGTCGGTTTCATCAAGTGAATCCGGCTTCCCCATTGATTTTAACTTGTCAGAAGGTTGCAAAAAGGAGATCCCATGACCCTGGGATGCGGCGACCGTCATAAATACGGGCAGTGGTGGGATTCAAATAATTTAACAACCGCTTCTCTGCCCTAATGATTTCTTCCAACAACCGGTTCACCGAAAGGCTCAGAAAGTTAATAACCGGTTCCCACGGAAGACGAGTCAGTCGTCAAGCGTCTGAATTTTGAACATGGGACCACGGGAATGTTTGCCATGGTCGTAAGTGTGAAAAATGACCATGGTCATTTTTTTTTCCAGGGCCGCTGTAATTTTGAACAGTCCCTAAATGGACCGTTGTAATCCGAGGATTGCCTGCATAGTTATGTACTCACCCAACAACAGCAGCTTTAACTCCCACCGGTCCCGTTTCTTTTGTTCTTGAAGTAGCCGGCTGATTTCTTTATCGATCATCATGGCATTTTTTTCCTCCTCAGACATGAAGCACCGGCACCACACCATGGTGCTTCCCAAACCGCTCCAGGTTTCCCCCCAGAATCAGAGGGGTGGGGTGGGGGAACTCAGAAAAATCAGGATTTGAAACAGGGGTGCTGGCAGGGTCCTTCCACCGAGGCGCAGACTGAACGGAGGAGCACCGATCTCTGGGGAAGCGGCCGTCCAGCAGAAACGGCTAGGAGATCAAATTTCAGCGTGAGACAAAAAAAAATTGGCGGAGACCCCACCGATGCCAGCAGTGTGGGCTGGGCTGGCCTAAATTTCACCCTCCCAACATTCACGGGAAGCTCCTTGACCGAGCAACTGACATGGTCATCAACGGTCAAGCCCTAGTAAGGCCACACCGGGAATAACTGCAACCAAGTTTGGTCACCACACTACAAAAAAAAAGGATGTTGAGACTTTGGAGGGAAAGAGCAACTAAGATGATTAAAGGCCCAGAGACTAAAACATAGGAAGAAGAGTGGCAGGATTTAGGTTGGACTAGTCTAGAGAAAAGAAGGACTAGGGGAGACATGAGAGCAGCCTTCCAGGATTTGAGGCGCTGCCACAAAGAAGAAGGGGTCAATTTATTCTCCAAAGCCCCTGAAGGCAGGACAAGGAATAATGGGTGGAAACCAGTCAAGGAGAGAAGCAACCTGGAATTAAGGAGGAACTTCCCAGCAGTGAGGAAAATTAACCAGTGGAACTACTTGCTTCCAGAAGTTGTGGCGCTTCATCACTGGAGGTTTTTAAGAAGAGATTAGACAGCCATTTATCTGAAATGGTATAGGGTTTCCTGCTTAAGCAGGGGCTTGGACTAGAAGACCTCTAAGGTCCCTTCCAACTCTGATTCTAGTCTAGTTTAGTCTATTCTGTTCTGTTCCATATCCCATTCTATTCCATATTCTATTCTATTCCATATGCCATATTCTATTCTATTTATTCTATTCCATATTCCATTCTATTCTGTATTCCGAATTCTATTCCATATCCCATGTTCCATTCCGCTCCCATAATCTAATTCCACGTTCCACAATCTATTCTATTCTATTCTATTCTATTCTATTCTATTCTATTCTATTCTATTCTATTCTATTCTATTCTTCTATTCCTTATTCCATTCCATTCCATTCCATTCTATTCTATTCCTTATTCTATTTTATTCTATTCCTTATTCCCTATTCTATTCTATTCTATTCCTTATTCC